GTAGTCAAGTTCTCTACCCAATACCCCAAAGATTATCAAGATGTTGATTTTTTTTTAACCATTCTTCTGCAGGCTTCTTGATTCCTATTCTGGTTTTACATTCCAAGTTGGCTCATTACTATAATCCATGTTGCCTAAGGCAAGAAATAGATAGTCTCTTTTTTCATTGCCCAGACCAAAAAAAAAAAAAAAAAAAAAAAAAAAATTATACATAGCTATGTGTATCCCCAAGACATCTGCTTGCAAGTATCTAAATAAGATTATATAGCATGGCAGAGAGCAGGCAACAAATTAATACTGAATATGAGACCTTCCAGCTCTAAATCCATAGGATATCTATACCATGTGTAGGTACGCTAGACCTACCTGTAGGTCAATTTCTCTCCCAACATGTTTTTTCTGTCCTGTTTCCTGGTCAGGCTTTCTCTCTTCAGGGACTACTTTCTGTACCTCACTGTTGGATCAGTTCCTGATCCAAACCACAGCTTTACCAGAAAGAATTCCAGATTTTAATATTCATCTGTTATATTAGACAAATCAATGTAACTTTGTGTAATGACCTTTTCGTAATGACCTTTTCCTTTCAGACTATATATAAAGTACTTAACATTTTGCAATTAAAAAGCATTCCAACAAGGTTTTGCCTAATCAAAAAAGCCATTCTCCCTTTAAGAGAATATTTCACTCAACTCCGAGGGTATCCAACATAAAACACAGTAAGCTTTTAAAGGCAATTTTGAATCCTTCATATTAAGATAGATACAGATGTTCACTGAAACACATAAACAATTATGTGTGCTACAAAAGGATGCACACAAAATATACATAAAACTTACCTCTTGCAGTTGAGTTGTGTATTTGGGTGGTGTGGTACTCAATTTTTGAGACATTGCATTTATCAGTATATGTTTAAATAGTAAACAGGCATTTGGTAATTTTTAAGAAGTTAGAATATGAATAATTCAAAGGTGAATTTGGTGACATCTCAGACAGACTGAAATAGGATCATTCAGACTTTCAAAGCTGTGTGTTTCCAGAGGCAAAAGAGAATCTCATTCAGAGTTGCTCATCAATGTTTAATTTCCACTCCGGAATACCAAAAGGGAATTGACACAGGCCCTAGAGAGTTGCTTTCTTCTGTTTAAATGGAGATATTAGTATCTTCCCTCTCCCTTAGTATTTAACATTTCTCGCCTTCTTTAGAAAATGCTGGAGCACACAATTAGAGCCTTAGAGCTACACTGTTCAGCATGATAGTCAATAGCACTATTTAGCTATTGAGCACCATAAATGTGGCTAATATTACTGACAAAGTAAATTTTTAGTTTTCCTTAATTTAATTTTAGTTTTTATAACTAGTACTCAATTCAGTTGTTAGAAAACCCGTAGGGCTGTTTGGGAAAACTTGGACATACAAATCTATTTTCAGCTGTACATTTTATAAAATCTAAATATAGATCAAATACTTCCAATCAAAACTCAGTGTTTAAATTGAGATGTAAGTGTAAAATATACATCAAATTTCAAAGATGTAGTTTAACAAAAAAAAGTAAAATACGTCATCAATTTTTGTACTCACTACGTGTCGAAATTATACTTTGAATATATTGCATAAATAAAATTCATTATATTTATTTCACCTTTCTAAACTTTTAAAAATATATCTACTAAAAAATTTTAAACTACGTGTATGAGTCACATTAACTCTTTAATAAACAGCACTGCACTAGAAGGTAAAATCAAAACTTACCGCAGAAGTCACAAACTGGTAGAGATGATTTTACCCACAAACTTCTGTTTGTCATCCATACAATGCTTTTAATTATCTTTAATTAGTTACAAGTATTTAATATATATTTATTTAGTTTTTCAAAAATGTTGGTAACTGGCTCCTCTTGAAAAGTTAGAAAATTTGGCAAAATTACATTTTTTTCTTGCATGGCAAGAATTTGCTGTAACTGACAGTGGCTTCCTCCTGTAGCCAGCCCTGAGCTTTCTATTTCCCGCAACCCTCCCTGTGAGTAAAGATAAAATCACTCTGCCAAACCACTGAAGACTTTTGAGTTTGAAATCCTTAAAGCACATGACAGGATGATGTAAAAGAAGTGGGGATTTTTTTATCCAGTAAATTTGTTTTACATATGTTTTCTACATTGGATCAGTTTCCGTTTTTCTAGTCACAAAAATTGATCAACATTTTACAAGGTGAAAATCCCATTGAACAATTGCACAGCTGTCCATAAATCACATAATAAAACCAGAATGAAGCGACAACTTGCCTTGTGGTGCAGACAATCCTGTTATATTTAATGCAGAGTCTGCTCCCTTAAGTCCTGGGAACCTCACAGGTCCTCTCTGCACTGTTGACCTATGTGACAGGCTTTAATTAGCACAGATTTTTCACGTTCATGGATAGATTTGGAATTTGGAAGTACTTAATGAAAAAGTTATATTACCTTGACCAGGCTGAAATTGCACTTAGAGGACATTTGCTTGCTCCAAAGGCACTGCATACAAATACATGAATATTAACACTATGCATACAAAAACAAAGCTTTCATTTTTTTTTCTAAAGGAGTATTTCTGATGATCTGCTGTTAATACTCCTTGAAAAATGTGAGCGAAATCTTTAAAACTCATGAACTAATTGTAGAATTAAATACAACTGGATTGTTTGACAGCAATTCAAGCACCGTAACTTCCTCTTTGCCTGTTGGATTAAAGGAAATTAGATGAAAAAACAATTCTGTTTATCTTTTACAAATGCCTGTGTATGTAGCTTACAGTCTAATGGGATACAGAACTGATAGATATATACATACATATGTACATATATACATGTAAAGTCAATAAATAGGATAATTACAAATTCTTCAAATTGTGATGAAGAAAAACATGCAGAGGTAGAGAATGATACTAGGGGAATAAGAAGTAGTTGGGGATCAGACGCAGTGCCTCAGGCTTATAATCCCAGCACTTTGGAAGGTTGAGGCAAGAGGACAGCTTGAGCCCAGAAGTTCGAGACCATCATGGGCAACATAGTGAGATCCCCTGTGATCTCAGCTACTTGGGAGGCTGAAGTGAGAGGATTACTTGAGCCCCTGAGGTCAAGATTGCAATGATCCAAAATCACGCTACTGCATTCCAGCTTTGGTGACAGAGCAAAACATTCTCCAAAAAAAAGAAAAAAATAGTGTTCGGGGAAGACATCTTTGAAGGGCTGAAATTTGAGGTGAAACCTGAAGAAATTATTAAGAATGGTCCTCATCCAAACAGAGGAAAGAGCATGTGCAGAAGCCTTGAGGCACGTACGTTTAACTGAAAGAAGGCCAGTGTGGCTACGACAAACCCTGACCTGGCCACCTGGCTTGTGAGCCATAGTGCAGAACTGACTGGGCACCATCATTTTGACTCTGGCGTGGCACCCTCCTTAGCAGAGGCAGCTGAATGCTGCCATCCTAGTTGGGGGTTTGACATGCTCAGCTTAAGCCACCTCAGCCCATCCCAGCATGCACCTACACCAACCAGCTCAGATGTAACCTCCAGCACCAGAGACTTTGCTCTCCTCAAATGAACTAGAGATGCCCTTGCCCTGAACTTTTTTAATTTTAATTATAATTTTTTGTCTTTAAAAGACCCACTTCTCCTCTTGTCCAACCTCCTCACCCAGAGCCGAGATTCTGTGCTAAATCGTATTCCTTACTGGACAGGAAATCTTTTCCACATTGTGCTCATTCTTTTATCCATTGTTTTATCTTTGAAGATGATTTAGGTAAAAAGCAGTATAGATGAATTGGGAAGGTAGGAGTTGTAGAGGAAGCAAAAAAAAAATATTTTCTCAACCCTCAGAAGATTTTAGTTAGAATGGTCCCTGTAACAAAAGACTGATGAAGAAGTAAAAAGCAGATAGAAGTTTATCAACATGCATACTTCGTGTATACATGTGAGATACCCAGGCTGTGGGTAATTTCTCAAAGAGATGGCTTTAAATTATATAGCATCTTCAATAAAGAATAGTACATTTTTGGAGAAATGGCAAGTCAAAAGAAAAGGACTTTTATTCTCTAGGGGTGATCACTTGTGAGAAGTAAAACAAATGGCAGATAAAGACTGGTTAGTAAAGCTTGCTAATTGTAGACTCCCCTAGTGCTATCTCCAGGCCCAAGATGGGTCTAAAGTAGTCTTTCCTTAGTTAACCTGTGTTATCGCTGGTGGAAGGAAGAGGCAGGGGAATATTTTTTTGTGTAAATCTGTGTCCTGCTTTTAGGCCATAGAGAAAGGGCAGCTTTTCTACATCTGCTGCTTAAGTGCCTCCAGCTCAATAAAATCCTTTTACCAAAGGAGACATTTTATTTTGGTGTGGTATATTTTGGTCTTCCAAAGAGTCAAAGAACATAGCCATGGGAAGAAATTTGGAATTCATCTTAAGTATCAAGTCAGATTACTAAAGGGCATTAAGTAGGGGGCATGACAAATCCAACTCAAATTTTAAAATGATTATTCTTGCTGCTATGCAAACAAATGAATAAACAAAAAATGCTTGAAGATGGGTAAGAGCGGGAGGTCAAGAACTGGTAGGGAGGAGGGAGGTATCCGTGTGCTGGAGTGGGTGTTTGTTAAATTGATGCAAGATCAACATGTCAAATTAATAGAATCATGCTAACAATAAATGTGGGCAATTTCAACAACTGATGACAAGAAAGATCAATATTTATTGAGTGCAGGCTGTCTTATGTTTTCTTTGTCAAATTTACACAAGCTTGTAAGTGTGTTAGAATGAGCTTTTCTACTTGGGGCAGGGGGCAGCTAGTTTTTCCTTGCCATCGTTCTTCCTAGAGAACAATATATTCTGTCATACATTCAGCATTTCTCAACAATCATACACTTAGCATTTCTCAACACACCTTGTTCATGTTTTTATCTCATAACAGTAAACAAAAGCCTATGATAAGTTTTTTTGTTTTTTTGTTTTTTCATTTTCATCTTGATTCAGAGTGCTTTCAGTGCTGCTTCCTTGTGAAGGCACATCCTTCTGTAAGCCTTGCTTTTCTTCCTATAGGCAAACAGAGGACAGTGGAGCAGCCAACACACAAAACAACTATTTGTGCATGGCTAAAGACAGTGGTGATTTTATAGCATCCAGGGCATTTCACGGCCACGAAGTAGGAATTGGGTCTCTGCACCAAGTGTTTCTTCTTGTGTTTCCTCTTCTCTTCTGGAGAGGGATCAAGGAGAGCTTTTGCCGGAGAGATGTTCTTATGGGTAGGTCATCACCGCCGGAAAGGAGGAATGAGCTCATTTTACAGTTAAGAAAACTTCACTCAGACAGTGTGACTAAAGTCACACTGCAATTAGCTGAGATTCAAACTATAGGATTACTAAGCTGGTACCCTCACATATGTAAATTTAATAAGAATTGTTGAGCACCTACTGCATGCAAAGTCATACACTGTTTCTCCAAAAAAGGAAAACAAATGAAAATTTAAAAAACAAAACAAAACAAAAAAAAAAAAAACTTATCATAGGCTTTTGTTTACTGTTATGTGATAAAAACATGAACAAGGTTTATTGAGAAATGCTAAGTGTATGATTGTTGAGAAATGCTGAATGTGTGATAGAATATATTGTTTGCTAGGAAGAACGATGGCAAGGAAAACCTAGCTGCCCCCTGCCCCAAGTAGAAAACTGCTTGGGGCATTCTAAAGTGACTGGACAATATATAAATGTTATACACTGGTTAAAACAATTCTTTAAGCACGGGTCATCTGACCCTGCCCCCATGGCTTCCTCGTGGAGAATACTTTTTAATTTGGCTGTTATCAGTGGTAAGCGGGCACCAGCTGCCTACTTGGTATACGTTTGTGTAATGAGAAAATGCCAAACATCTGTTTGTTAATAATCACCTGTTCAGAGAGAATAAAAGAGTGGGTCAGCATCTGCTCGAGGCCTCTAGCCTGGAATGCTGTCAGTCCTGAGGCTTTCAGCTTGGGGTTGAGCTGTTGGCTTCCTGGCTGGACCGACTTTGCTGTTCTATCTGGGTGTCTGCTTCTCAATTCCTTCAGCGCCGCCTGGGAGGGGGTCTCTACGGCTGAACCGGTCTCGGTAAAGATTTATTTATTTTTTTCTGTAAAAATACAAGAATATAAAACTATTGCCGGGCAAGGTGTCAGAGCTCTGGCAGCAGAGAGTGGTTGTCTGGTAAGAGAGTGTGGTGGATTTTCCTTAGGGGTATTTCTTAAGGCAGGAGCTTAAGGGTAATATGGATCACATTAGTCACATAGGTCATAGTAAATGATTACATTTGTAGACATTTTGGTGTCTTAATGTCAGCAAGGGTTGCCCAATGAATTTTGACATGTATGCATTCCAGAGATGTAGAGAAATGCTAGTTATTTACAAATTTTTGGAAAAGAAACATGGAATCAGATGCCCACTTTAGCTAATTAGGGAAGTCTAATTACTTCTAAATTCTTTAAATAAGGAGTTTTGCCTCTGGATGGTCTGCTTGATAGCTACGAGGTGGTCTTTGCTCTGCTCATTTTTTTCCCCTGACAAGTATCATGGTCCATTTTTTGATCCTTTATAATCCCCCATGCTCATTTCCACCTGCTGCCTAATAGAGTCTCAAAGGGAAAACCGCATAGTGAAGATGAGCATTCGATCTATCTGGCTGCTTCCTGCTGAAAGGGGCTGTGGAGGGGATATGCTTTGTTTTCTCCTTTTTTGTTCTCTGTCATGAAGGGATTGAGGTCATGAAAAACTTGTTCAAAATGGGAAGCCTAGATTCCATCAACAGGCCCCATGTAAATAGAAGTTCCTGTTACCAGCTGGTATTGGGATTGCATAATTATCTGTAGGTGGAATTATTGTAATCTGGAAGATACAAACTTAATGAGCACGTTAAAAAGGCAGGGACCATATATTAAAAGAATGATTAGGAATAAATGTCCAAGGAATGGGAGAAGCAAAACGATTTTTAGAAACCAATCAATAAGGGTTTTGGTCCAGTTTTGGTTACTTTGGGTAAGTATGTGTTGTCATTTGGCTTGTTTGAAAACGTCTTGGACATTAGTTTCCACTTCTCCAGACACATTAATGTAGGTGAAACAGGTTTTGTTGATGATAGCACAGACTCCTCCTTGTTCAGCTAGGAGATAATCTAGAGCCTGTCTTATCTAAAATCATTCCTGCTGGTGAGTATAAAGACTTTTCTAGTGCTGATAGACTTGGGCCAAGGCTAATAGCTACAACTATTTCAAAGGAGGCAGTAAGTTCCTGTAGTGTGATTTTGTGCTAAGTAAAACCTCCCCAAAAGTTGAGAGTTGTGACAGTTCCCACAACTTCAACCACGGTAAGTCCTAGGGCCCTTTTTATTTTCGAATGGGATTTTAGATTGGAAGCTATGTTCAAGATAGTGATTCGAGTGGAATATATTGTACCCAGAATACAATCACCATAATGAGGAGAATTATCAAGGTAGGGTAGGGCCAAAGCCTGAAAATGGTTTAAATAATTATTGGCACTGCTGCAAAGCCATAAGAACCTAGAAGGGGTGGTTAATACAATGTGATCGGTTTGATTTAAACATTGGGAAAAAGGGAAGGAGGTCGTTTGACAGTTCTGAGATGCCTCATATATGAAGACAAGTTATATTTATGTCCCAGCGGGGGAATTTTAAAACTAGATAGGTGCATGAGCAATGAATAGAATATAAAGTAAGTGGCACAATAATTATTTTCCATATTGGTTTTATTATTATAGTAACATACATAAATGGCATTGGGAAAAATTATCTTACAAATAAAAATCTGCAGGTTTAACAATTGTATAAGGATCTTAGGTAATGAGAGTTGGATAATGAGTAACTGAACTGAAGATAATACAAATTGGAGGATATAGCTAAATTGATTAGTTTTGGCAAGGGTTTCCATTAAGCCCTTCTGGAGCATATAGGTAAGTGAAAAGGGAGGTGAAGAAAAGTAGATAATAAAGACAATGGCCGGTCACGGTGGCTCACGCCTGTAATCCCAACACTTTGAGAGGCTGAGGCAGACGTATCACGAGGTCAGGAGATCAAGACCATCCTGGCCAGCATGGTGAATCCTATTTTTACTAAAAATACAAAAATTAGCTGGCCGTGGTGGTGCATGCCTGTAATTTCAGCTACTAGGGAGACTGAGGCAGGAGAATCACTTGAACCAGGGAGTCAGAGGTTGCAGTGAGCCAAGATCACGCCACTGAGCTTCAGCCTGGCAACAGAGTGAAACTCCATCTAAAAGAAAACAGCAAAGAGTTTCTGACAAAAAAAAAAAAAAAAAAAAAAAAAAAAAAAAAGAGTTTCTGACAAAAAGATTTGTGTTACCTGGTTGTTTGTGAAACAAGAATCATAGATCTTCCAAGAGTTCACAAGTGTGAGTGGGCCAGCATTGGTGCAAACTTTATATATGAAAGATAGATCCCAGGGGAGATTCCCTATAATTTCACAGCTGTGGGAGAGGTTAGGAGGACTTGAAGGGGTCTAGTTCAGAGAGCATGAAAAGAGTTTTCTGTTTGAAGGCAAAATTTTTAAATATACTGGGTCCACAAGGTTAACAAGAGGGGTTGTTTCTGACCAGGAGGGCTCGAGTTTTGGATGATATTTGTCTTGGTATTCAGTAACACTCTGGATAGTTTTCCCCAATGAGACAATTATAACTCAAACCCCTTAACTTTTTGTTTTCTCTTAGTAGCCATAGGACTTTTAACAGGTATACTTCAGTCCTATGTCTCCAAGATAGCTTCAAAATTCTATGTACAGGTAATTAAGGAAGCCATGTAAATCTAGCAGGTGTCACCCTTACAAATTCCTAGCTAGGTGATTCAGGCCTCTTGAAAAAGGAGAAATGGATAGGAGATGGGGGAGGAAATCAAACCATGATCTACACAAAGTCCTATTGATTTGCTGGTAGCTCTGCTAATGTGCTTTTTGTTGGTGACTAAACAACATGGGCACTAGTCAGGAAGATGAATTAGTATCCTTAAGGTTACACAAGTAAGTCACCTTTCGATCCAAATCAGGGACATTCATGTTTTATATACCCAGACGCTTTGCTGTTTTATATACCCTGACTAGGTGTGAGAGAGGAAAAATTCATTTTGTGCTCTAATCATACCCTGTTAGCACATCTTTTAATCCACGGGCCCTTGCTTTTTGTTTGCTTGCCTATTTTTTTTTTTTTTAATTTTAGAACTAAATGCGTTTCTGACATTTGTAACCTTTTAATTCCAGCTGGTTATTTAACAAGGCAACTTATTCTCAGCATCAGGAAGGAGAACAGGCATATTTACCTTCTCAGACCTTCCACTGGGGCACTCATAGCAGGGTCCATTAGCACATCAGCTGTGATCCATGCATTTAGCCACAAAAGCATCACAATTTCTAATGGTACCTTGGAATGTGCAAACCCATTGCCCAAAAGCTCAGAAGTTTTCAGTAACACTGGGTTTCATCTTCCTTTTCCTACTTCCTGCCCCTACTTCACATCCCATTCTGGAAAGATAGCCCCAGTGGAAATATTTTCTTTCTGTTTCAACCCCCCACTTCCATGAAATTAATTAAATGATATCATGCTTCATTTTATCTGATTTGGAAGCAATTCATCACCCTTTTGCTAGTTGTGTTAGTCCGAGCGATCAGCATATTAATTCATTTGTGAGAATAAGCTCAAGGGTAATTACAGTGAGGAGGTTTAATGCCTAAACGTGTTAATGTCTGTAATCAGAAGTATTTTCTCAGTGCAGAACAATTGTTCAACAATTACAGTTGGATATGATTGCCCTGGTAGACAACAGACGTGGTGTCAAGAGGGAAATAGCAGAAGCTTGTTTTGCAAGTACCGTATTATCAGCAAGTTCTCTCTTTTTCCCCTACAATATTTTCTAAGATGTTCAGCTCATGTATAGCCATCCTTGTACTTACTCTCTACATTGTTGATTAAGTAAAAAAGTTGTATTTGTTATGTAAAAGGATCACAGGAGACAGCTTGGCACTTTCTGAAAGTCTTACCCTTTTCTTATTCTTTCTCTTCTGGTGCTTTGATTTTTATTTGCATAAAATTACCAATTTAATCGCTGCCTTTTATTTCTCAATATGCCCCAGAGCCTTCATTACCTAATTTTTTCCTGTAATGAGAAGATTCTTATGTCTAACTGAATAACAAGACCCAAATATCAAGACCCAAGACCCATTTTTAGCAGCCAGCAGTCCCTCCCGATTAGCAAATTGCTAATGAATTGAATAAATACAGTGGAAGAACTTGATTATTGATTATCACTCATTACTCTGCTACAGTAGTTTTGTATGTGAATTTGAATTTAATCTCTATTACATTTTTCCCCAAAATTTTATGACTAAAAATGAAATTGTAGTCATAGTTTCCTTTCTACCTAGCATGTTTTCCAGGATCTCTTTTAGGCATGTATAAGATTGCATCTAGTTGCAAGGAACAGAAAAAAATGACTCAAATAGTCCTAAACGGTAACTTATAAAGAAGATATATTGCTTTGTGTAAATGACACATTTCATGGTAGAGGAGGTTTAAGCATTTTAATCACAGGGCTGTAGTGCCATTTACCTGCAATTCCCTGACTTCTGCATTCTTCTCTATGTTGGTTTTGTCCTCAAACTGGCTTTCCATGAATCCAACTAGGTATGACATCCCCACTTCTCACATTTGCATGCACTCTGTTAAAACTCTGGTTTACTGTACTCCCCAAGCATCAAACCAGAGTCAGATACTTTGTATAATTTAGTTTAGATATGTCTTCTACATCTCTCAATAGAACTTCCACATCTCTTAATACCTCTCATAAACTGGAGTTCAAACAAAAGTTAGAAAAATAGAGTATGTAACTTTTCCATACTCCATTTTACTCTATTTTACTGCTATATTTTGAGTTGTAGCACATTTGGTTTATTGTTGTTATTGTTGGTGATGGTGTTATTGCCTTTTAAAGTATCTAGTGTTAATACACTGCTGAACGATTAGAAATGGCAATATTTTTGTTAAGCCATTAGATTATTATAGTAATATTCCAGTTTACATGAAGGAAATAACTTCATGTAAACTTCTTTGTAAACTGCATCATAAAAGTAGATACCCTTCTTTATCAAAGGCTGAGAAATTGCTCAACTATTACTTGTCCTCATTTGTATTTTTCCTGCATCAGGGGGTTAGAAATAGTAAATGTATCTCATCTACACAATGAGGCAGCTGAAGGCAGGAAGGAAGTCAGACTGCAGTTTCCATGACGTTGGAAGTAAATGCTATAGCACAAGATGTATTAGTCAGCTAAGGCTGCCAGTACAAAACACTACAGACCGTTTTTATAATACAACAAAAATTTATTTTCTCCTAGTTCTGGAGGCTAAAGTCTAACATCAAGCAAGATGCCAATAGAGCTGGTTTGTTGCAAGGCCTCTCTTTGCGGCTTGTAGACAGTTTTCTTCTCACCTCGTCCTCACTTGATAGGTGACAGAGAGATCTCTGATGTCTTTTTCTTTTCTTATGAAAGCACCATTCCTGGCCAGGCGCAGAGGTGCATGCCTGTAATCCCAGCACTTTGGGAGGCCAAGGAGGGTGGATCACAAAGTCAGGAATTCAAGACCATCCTGGCCAACATGGTGAAAAACCATCTCTACTAAAAATACAAAAAAATTAGCCAGGCGTGGTGGCAGCTGCCTGTAATACCAGATACTCAGGAGGCTGAGGCAGAGAAGTGCTTGAACTGGAGAGGCAGAGATTGCAGTGAGCCAAGATCATGCCACTGCACATGCCAGCAGTACCTGGGTGACACAGAGAGATTCCATCTAAAAATAAATAAATAAATAAATAAATAAACAAACAAACAAACAAACAAACCAGACTTGTAGGCTTACATTCCCACCCTAATGACCTCATCAAACCTCCCATCTCTAAGGTCCCTGTCTCCAAATACAACCACACTGGAGGTTACGGCTCATCGACATATAAATTTTGTGGTCACAATTCAGTTCATTACACAAAGCTTAGGTGTTATTTAAGCAGAGCTATTTTTCAAATAAACACAGAATACTCTATGTCAAAAAGGGTTTGCTTGGCACCCAGATTTTTGGTTTCTAATACCATTGTCCAAGAAACTTAACCAAGACTCCTCAGAGAAATGGCTGATTCTAGAACTGAGACAAGAAACAAACTGGATGAGCCTAAAGCGTCTTGTAGTGCCAGAAAGCAAAGAGGTGCTCAGAAAAAGGCACACAGTGATGATGCCTGCGTGTCAGCAGACCACAGAGGCCAGCTGAAAGATCTCCCAATGGCCAATGCTGAAATAACTTGACCAGCAAAATGAAAAGTTTAATAAAGTAGAAATTGTCCATTATCTGCACTCAGTATGGACATTTACTTATATAAGTAAACGATTAAATATGCTAATAAATGGTGGGGGAGGGAAGGAAGAGAGAGACTATGCAGAATAATTCCCAATAATATATGTAGATACTCTGTCCTCAAGAAAGGTAGCGTATGACTCCTCACTCCTCAAATGTGGCCTCTGCACAGTGACTTCCTTCCAAAGAGCACAGGATAGAGAGGGAGAAAGAACAGAGTAAAAATTACAGGGGGGAATTGTTTGAGATACAAGCAGTACCTAGCCAAGTGACGCTTGATCAAAATTATAGTGATAAACCAGGCTGTGCTGTAGTTTAGATATTTAACCCCTCCAAACCTCATGCTGAAACATGATTCCCAGTGTTGAAGGTGGGGCCTAATGAGAGGTGTTTGGGACATAGGGACAGATCCCTCAGGAATGGTTTGGAGCCATCCTTGCTATGATGAGTGAATTCTGGCTCCATTAGGTCTCGTGGGAGCTGGTTGTTAGAAAGAGCCTGGCTCCTCCCCTCTCTCTCTGGGTTGCTCTCTCACCATGTGTCTTCTGTACCTGCTGACTCTACTTCTCCTTCCACCAAGACTGGAAGCAGCCTGAGGCAGAAGCAGACACTGGCACCATGCTTCTTATACAGCCTGCAGAACCATGAGCCAAATAAACCTCTTGTGTTTATCTGTTACTCAGCCTCAGATATTCTTTTACAGCAACACAAACCGACTATGACAAGTTCATAATGTAAGCTGTTGATATGTGATAAGAATGCTACTTTACCTTTGTTTTCTTCTCAAAACCCAAAACATCAGTCCAATGAAGAAAAAAATCAAACAAATCCCAACTGAGGGATATTCTATAAAATAGCTAACCAATGTTCCTCAAAACTGTCACAGTCCTCAAAAATAAGGAAAGATGGAAAAATTGTACAGCCAAGAGAAGCCTGTGGAGAAATGAAAAGTCAATGTAACATGTCAATGGTGGGATCCTAGAACAGAAAAAGAACACTAGGTAAAAACTCATGAAATCTGAGGAAAGCATGGATTTTAGTCAATAACGATGTATCAATATTGGCTCATTAATAGTCGAAACGATATGGGGAATTTGGGAAATTTGTGTACGACTTGTGCAATATTTATATAAATCCAAAATTGCTCTGAACTAAGAATGATTTGTTTTAGCGATAAATAGGCAAACAGTTGAAATTTTTTTTTCTTGGATATTTTATTTTATTTTATTTTATTTTTTATTGCATTTTAGGTTTTGGGGTACATGTGAAGAACATGCAAGATTGTTGCATAGGTACTCACATGGCAGTGTGGTTTTCTGCCTTCCGTCCCCTCGCCTGTATCTGTCATTTCTCCCCATGCTATCTCTTCCCACCTCCCCACCACCCCCGTCCCTCCCCCATTTCCCCCCAATGGACCCCAGTGTGTAGTGCTCCCCTCCCTGTGTCCATGTGTTCTCATTGTTCAACACCCGCCTATGAGTGAGAATATGCGGTGTTTGATTTTCTGCTCTTGTGTCAGTTTGCTGAGAATGATGGTTTCCAGGTTCATCCATGTCCCTACAAAGGACGTGAACTCATCGTTTTTGATGGCTGCTGTTTGACCTAGGGAGCACAGCACTAGGAGGAAAAGCAGTCAGTGGCACGATCACTAATTCTAAATAGGCCCTAGAGACATAACCCTAATATTAGAATCCCAAAATTATTTTATCCAGTTTCTGACTTTTAATTAATGTGAAGAATTTGTAGCAGTACTTGAAATAAAGTAGCTATTCAATAAATGTTAACTATTTTTATGATTACTACTACTGATATTATTAATACCATTAAGGACACCGCCTACGCAAAAGAAACTTGTTTCTTCTGAGCATCTGCTGTCAGCAAACAAGACCTTTCCTCCCTATGTAAGTGGTGTAGCTTCTTCTAACCCCTATAGTGACAGGACATATACACGGGGCAGGGTATTAAGGACCAAGTTTTCTGTGAGATGATGCAGGCAAAAGCTCTTATATTGGCTGGTCCCCAAAAGTCATTACTCTGCCTGGTAATTCACTGAAGGCATTTGAGGTTCACAGCCAGTATCTCACGACTTATGAAAATCTAGGTACTTCCCTATCCAATGCAGACACACTGGAAAATGATCAGAGTACCATTTGGGGAAGGGCAAAAGAAAGAGGCCTGTTGATCACTCTGTTGGAGGACTCATCCTTCTTATAGTCTTCAGTCTGTTTAGGGGCTCTGGGTCTGTGAACTGGTGCAGGGCAGTGATTTGTGGCAGAGGCCATGGCTTTCCACAGTGGTTATTCTAACCAGTCTCCATTCACCAGTTTATTATTGCTGTATTTTGTTTATTTGTGTGTTCTTAACTTCTGTTGAAACCCTTTAGTAGTCTGGCCACCTATTGCAGTTGCAGGCATATCATGATTAATTAACATGATAACTATTTCTGCATATCAAACCATTTTGATGACAGCTGCAGCTACAATTATACCTTCCTCCCCTGCTCACAGTGTTTATGTGCCTCTGTCACTCTGGAATGCGGTAACACATCCCCATTGAAATTAAGGAGCTCATTTCAATGATAAAAACTCTCACTGTCATACCTGGTCTGTAGACAGCACCCAGCAGGATTCTGGTGCTTGACTTGTTAATGTATTTCCCAGTATCCTGATAATGGGAATGTCTTCTGGAGCTTCCTAGGAGGCATGATTAGAGATAGATGAGCAAATCACCTAAGTATATGTCAATATTCCTACCACGCTAAGACTGAATTTTTTGACAATGCACAAAAATGACATTTTAGTTTCATTTTATATAAGGCACCACTAAATCCAGGATTCAGTTGTCAGTAAAATGTGAGATCCATCCCTAGAGTTTAAACTTTCACATTGATTAATTCCTGAGCAGTGTACCCATATCAATAAATTTGATTCAAACTTGATTTAACACTTTTAGAAGTGTTTTTCGTTGGTCAAGTGGCTTAAGAATTTATTTCTACACAAGTACTCTTATTTTCTCCCAATATAAAATGATATAACTTGCAGTTTTGGAGGTGAAGGCACTTGCTTCTACATCAGACATTTTGCCTGTTCTCCAGGGTCCACCAGTATTTTGGCCTGGAAGAAACGCGAGTTGGTGGGAGTAGGTCTTTCAGAAAATGGGCAACAAGCCTGTGAGATGGGAGAATCGGTTTATTTGCCTTTGGTCATGAAACTTGCTTGTCTAATAATTGTACCCCACTTATACATATTGCTTCCTTCATGTATTCCTTAATTATAACTAGGCAAGAATCCCAAA